AAAAAAAGAACAAAGCATCAATTTTATTCTGTATTATATTTAAAAAAAGTAATAAAGTTCTTTTTTTTTTGTTATCGTTTTCCGATATCATTTCATGGCTTAGCAAGGAGATCAGATACATCAAAACCGCTTTTCTTGGTAACAGGTGGTGAACTGGTCACCGATACAGGTACTGTTGCCGGTAATGTTGGACGTTGTACAAAATACTGTGAAAATTGTGCTGCATGTGCGGCCTGTAAAAAAAATTCTCTAGGAAATGCTGCTGCAGCTGCAGCTGCAGTTGGTGCATAGAATGAAAATTCTGGTGGCGTAAAACCATTTGCAGTAAAAAATGCTGGAAATGGTAAACTGGTTGCCGCACTACTTGGAAACATTATACAATCTTTAACTTGAGCTGTTGCTGCTGCAGCTGCAGCTGCAGCTACAGCTACAGTTGCTGCTGTTGAAGCACCAGTTGCATTTATCCGTTGCTGTTGTTGTTGTTGTTGTGTAGTTGTCGTCTGTGATTGTTGTTGAGATTGTTGCGGCTGTTGCTGCTGTGGTTGCTGTTGCTGCTGAGATTGCTGTTGCTGTTGTGATAATTGGGTATTCGACTGTTGCTGTAGTCGATTGGAAGTCTGTTGTTGTTGTTGATCCACTGAAAATTGTTGCTGTGAATTCTGTGACTGTTGTTGTTGTTGTTGCTGCTGCTGCTGTTGTTGTAAGTGTTGTAATTGTTGTTGCTGTTGCTGCTGCAGCTGATGCTGCAGTTGTTGTTGTTGTTGTTGGTCGATTACTGAATTACTACTTTTAACACGTTTTTTTGGAATCTCATCATCTTCTGACAAGTCAGAATCTGCCGAACTGCTTGGACGCATCAAAGATTCTGTTTCGTTGTCGTCACATTTTGGATTTGCACCATTAATTTCCTGTTTAATCATCAGCCGTTTTTTTTCCCGTTTTCCGGCACCGGCATCACGAAAACCTTTGGCAAATGGGTTATTGTCGATTTTTAGCTGAGTAACCTAAA